AGAGCTTAAACTGTTTATAATGCCTTAACACTGGATTCCCTTGCTCAGGTCTTCACTAACATGGAGCCAGGTAAGAACAAGCTACAACTTGGTCAGACAGATCTGAAGCCTGGGCCACAACAGTTGCTTTTTTGCATTTTTCTACTTCTTTGTTACTGATTATAATTCCCTGAGCAGCTTAGCTGTGAGAAATAGCATCTAATTTTTGTATATCTTCTTACCTGATATTTAATATTTTATTCCAGAACTGTTCTTTAATAATTAACACACGATGAATTTGGCTGACAATTAATACCCATTCAATTCAGCTCCTATTTAAGAAAAATTGTTCATAATCCTACTTTGTTAATAATCCTCTGGAAATTACTTGAAATTGACTCTTAAGGTTTTGAAATATTTTGTAACTGGGAAGCAATTGTCAGGGCAGAAGTTGCACACAAATTTAGTCACAGCTACTTGCAGTACTTAATCAGATCTCCAGTAAGATCCTATGAGTCCCCATTAGCTCTTATTCAACATGTAAGATCATTGATTGCCGATTTTAAATATTTGTTGGGCGGGCAGAGTGTCATTGCAATATATATTTGACTTACAAATGCCCACATTCTTCTTCAGTTTCCTGTGAGTCCCACTGGAGTAGTTCACCTGCCATCAGGGTAGTCTACATTCAGTGCCAGGATTGGAGAAACTTTTAGTTGCCTGGATGAGTTGGATGTACTTTTTAGTGCTTCACCATGGCTACAGGAAATATTATCAAACATTATCCTGTGTAGGAGGGAACAACATGACAGCATCTTCCTTGATCATTTCCAGGAAAAGTTGTATCATGGTTTTTCAGGTAATATTGCTACTAGTTATTACTGCCATGAACCAAATTCGTTTTACTTTTTTATTGCTTGCTGAAAGGTGATAGTATTCCAAGTTCTGCTCTTGGTAAGACAAACCATCTTTCTCGTCCCTGCCACTTGTGTAAGCAGGGAGAGGCATGCTGGAATTTGTAACAAAGGTTTATGTGTCAGTGTATAACAAAGCTCACATTTGTAACCTAAATTATCTTCTTTTCCTTTCACCCTCTTTTTTTTCCTTCTATCTGTAGCTCTTGAACTACATGATACTGCTTTTCCAGTCTTCTGTCTATCTTTGCCAGATAAATGACATTCCTTTGACTCCTCCAAGTGTTGTAGCAGAGAATAACTGAGATCAGGGACATTTTGGGTTTAGCTTCTTATTTTGCTTTTCCCTCTTTTTAATTCTCAGCACTCTTGTTAATTTTTATAGTTTTTGCTTATCCTTTTGTCAAGAGCCATTCTTCCATCTAAACACCCCTTGCCATTTAACTCCTGTACTTAATCCTACTGGTTAGCTTTAAGAGTTGCAGACAAAGCTCCTCTGGGTTCAGTTATCTGTGTGGTCCAGCTGGTGGTCTAGTTTGCTGAATCCACCTAGGGATACTTCGCCTGGCCAACAGCTTGGCCCTGGAGGAAGTAAATTCAGTAGTAATCCCTTCCTGAGCAGCTGAACAACCCTGCCTGCACACCAGCACCCCAGAAAGATGGGTGACTGTGGTTACTGGAGAGGATTTGAAGCACCAAAGGGTTTGAAGCTGCTTTCTGTTGTGGTGCCAACCCCTCTCAGCCCAGAACTGCTGCTTGCACCTCATCTTTTGGTGCCAGCCTCTGAGTCTGTCAGTAGCAGGATTTCTCCTTTCCTCTCTCTGCCTCCCTTCAGCATCACCCAGAGCCTCAGTGCTGAGCACAGGTCCTGCATCCTCCTCTTCTCCAAGACCCGTTTCTCCTCAGTTGCTGCTGCCAAGAAGGTGGGAAGATGTTAGTGGAGGAAGATGACTGCTGCTGCCAGTATGAGTAGTGGGAGACTGAGACCATCTCACTCTGGAGGAGGGTGTGTAGACAAGTTATGTGATGGAGCTGGGAGCCCTTGAATAGCCACTCCATCTCCAGTTTCCCACTGTAGGTGCTCCTCACAGGCATTCAGCCCACCTTGCTTTTCTGTCTTACACATTCAGACTTCGTATATGATGAGTGTTACATGCATATGATGCTCATCTCTGTAAAATTCAGCCTTTAGCATTTAGGTCTTCTCACTAGCAAAAATATAATATGTGCATATAATGAAGGGCCGGTTACAGAAAGTTCTGACTAATTCTCATGAAAGTTGGAGGCAAGCTGTGGGAGCCTTAAACACCCATGTTATTAGACTACTGCATCTATACACACAACATTAAGAGACCAAGCTTTTACAAAACAAAATGTTGCAAATTATCCTGCATCGCTGTCTGGATGACTAGGATATTCCTCCAAAAGTCACTGAAGCCTGTCTCTCAGTATGAGAAAGCCTGAGTGACAGGCTTCACTGTTGGGCAGTCTTTTTTAAGATCAAACTCATTGTGAGAAACAGAATTAGTGAATAGGGTTGGGAACTGGCTGGGAAGGCTTGCTTGCCATATTTTCTAGTCCATGCCCCACACTGAGCAGGCTTATTACCTGTTACCTCTGTGACAACTGCCCTTGGGGAAAGCATGGCAACAAAACACGTCCTATGAAGCATGTTGGTTCCTCAACGTATTTCTGTAAAGGGTAAATCCATTTCTGAGCAGCGAGTCAGTGTATAGCATAACCTGTGCTTCATTCGTGGGTCACTCTAGCCACTAATATAGCCAGAATGGTACCAAGAGTATGTCCTTTTGGACACAGAATGATTTGTCCTCTGGGCACTGGAGATTTTCACCTCTGCTGTGTCATAGAGAAGAACTAGAACAAGAACAGCAGTTTGTAATTTCTATCCCTCAGTAGATTTATTGTCATGGATGCTCTTTCCCTGGGTGTACATTGTGGGTGTAAGTTGTGTCCTCTTCTGTTTGTGAAGCTGTGAAGTCATTCCCTCCCCCAGTAGAAAAGGTGACACCATCACTGTGAAAAACACATACTTACATGATCTACTTTTCTGTTTTTTATTAACTCAACATTGTCTCCTACAAATACGATTTGTCATTCACTGGAAGATTTGAAATGTAGACTTAAGTTACACGTAGGTATAAAAAGCATAAAACAGCACACACGGTACCACTGTTTAGACCAGAAAACATTGTGTTGTCCCACAGACCAGAGCAGTGTTCAAGCTCAACTGTGTCGCCTTCTGCCTCAGGAATTCAGTCTTCAAAGCTGCAGATGCTTCTGCTTCTTTTCCCTCAGCTTGTGAAGCCCTGTGGGCTCTCCCCTGGTGTTTCTGACCCATGTCTGGAGCATGAACCAGGGAACCACAGGGCAATCCCACCTTACTCCACCAGAGGTTATAAAACCTTGGGTTCCTACTGGCTCTTCGGAAACGTTTTCCTCCTTCTCTTAATATTTATGTACAATATATGAAGAGATACGATTTGTGTCTTGATTTAGACATATCTCTTGCCTCATACTTAAACAATAACTTGAAAAATATTTTACAAAGAAAAAGAACATTGTTCATCTGAATGTCATTCATTATTATATTGCTATATTTTATACCCTATTATTAATATATACAAAATTTCTTAATTGCCTTTTACAGATGCATGGAAGCATATAATATAACAGTTTTAAAGTATCCCATTTTTAGATTTTTTTTTCCCTTGGCTCATGTCAATCTCTTTAATAAACTATGGTTGCTTGGAGAGTATAGGAAGTATTTGGAATGTTGTTTAAAGTTTAATAATAACTGGTAGCATTGTCCATTTGCAGCCTGATCAGTTGGAGCACCTGTCAGGGCGATCTGGTAGAGATAGCAGCATCATAAGACTTAAACAATCATGGAGGGCTGTTAATGTGCAGTGTCGACGGGTGCCAGGTTCAGTTCTTTATTAGGGGCTTTTTTTTTCTTCGGCTGCGTTTTGTTGTTGTTTTCCCTCTGTTCTCGGTTTTGTCTTCGGGCTGCTCGCCCTTTGCTTTCCTGTCTTGTCTCCTTGCTTTCCTCTTTGTCGGACTTTTTTCTTTTCTCCTCCCTATTTTTTTTCCCTGAAATAAAAATGATGGCACATTAGAAGATTTTCTCAGGCTGTTGCAGTTCCTGACTCCCTCATTTTGCCATAGCCTGTAAAACTGGCCCTGGATTAGCACCTCCCGTTAGAAACTGGACACTAGCACTAGTGTTTAGAAACGTCCAGCTCATCATCAAAGTACTAAATTTGGCCACTAGACTAACACCTCCCATCAGTCTGATTCTGAGCAAAGAGCTTAGAACTCCCTCGGGAATCCCGGTGTTTTGGAGCTGGTATAAATATCTCACACCCTCATCACCTGTCTCCCACAGCCAGGGACACAGCTCCATGTGCTCCACCAAAACACAGCTGGTTTGGAGACATCTATGGCTGAAGCCAGGTAGCATTAACTAATCTAAATCTATCTTGGGCTGGGACCGAGAGCATATGGTGCAAGGAAAATAGCCATCATGTTACTCCCCTTCACTGGCAATGCTCAGCATCTATGTCTTTTAAAAATCCCTCTTCCCTCCTTTTACCCCCACCACACCCACATCCCGGGGATTCTAGGTGTTGCCACATGAATCCCACGACAAAATGTCAGCTCCAGCACAAGTATGTGACCCTCTTCAGACTAAAAAGTGATGTTTCAAGTCTCAAGTCAGGCTTTAGACCATTGTTGAAAAATTAGGTATTCGAGTACTTTATTGCTTTACATACTTAGAAAGGGAAGATGTTGAGGATTTTTATTGCTACGGACCTCTCCAATAAAGCTTCCCATCCCCTTAGGAACTTTAAAACTCTGTGTATTGGATGTGGAGGTGATATTGTAGAGTGCATTTTTGCTTGGACATAAGGAAGAAATTCTTTATGCTGAGTGTGATAAGACACTGGAACACTTTGCCCAGAGAAGTTGTGGATGCCTCATCACTGGAAGTTTTCAAGGTCAGGCTGGATGGGGCTTTGAGCAACCTGGTCTAGTGACAGATGTCCCTGCCACGGGCAGGTTTGGAGAGGTTGGACTAGATGATCTTAAAAGGTCCCTTCCAACCCAACCCATTCTGTGATTCTATGATTCTATTCCTTCTATTTACTTTAAGCCAATGCACGTATGGCGTTGAACTGAACTTCTATGTACACACAAGCCTAAAACAGATTAGATTTTTTCGGTGTGAAACTGGTTTTTCTACTGAACTGTGCGGCTGAAATTCACCTGTGGTTAAATGAATCCCAATGATGTCTTCAAAAGCAGCCTCGCTTGAGACTTTGATGATACAATGTTATACTGACCTGCATGCCTCCTTACATGGAGAAATTTCTGGACAAGTATTGAAAAGCATCTGCCCAAACTGTGTTTTATGATATCCAACACTACTGAATATAATCTATCCCTCTCTGTTACGGCAAAAATACTTTTTGCTTTTAAATATCAGCAGAGATAATCCAGGCTTTCCTACACCAATGTTGAGGGAGTTATGCAAACCTGGCAATAGCTCTTGCTGTTGAGGGTGCTGAATGCAGGGGATTGTGCCCATTCCAGACTCAAAACCAGAACTGGGAGTTTTTGGTGCCTTGTATGTCACAGTGGAAGAGTAGATTCAAAGACTGGTCAGATAAAGGGAGAGAGATTCAGAGGAGGTGATGAGAAGGCAGAAAGCAAGGAGTAAGACTAAGATGTGAGGATATTCTGTACCCTCTTCTTGTTGTGTAGATCTATCAGCTTGTTTTACATCTTTTCCATTCCTTACCATCACTGCCTGAGATTGGAGGGCAAGGGAAGGTTTAGATACACATGTTAAGTCAAGTAGGGACAAACATCTGCCTTTCTCATCTATTGTTTCTGAAACATGCAGTAAAACTTTAAATGTAAAAAGACCTCACATTTTAGGTAACCACTCAAGAGATTACCCCAATATACACCCACATACCTTGAGAATCCTTCTCTGAATTTGCCAATGCCACGTAAGATGGACAGAGGTGAGCAGGGGAGACCTGCAGAATGGGCATGTGAGGCCCAGTGAGAGCTACCACCACCGGGAGAGCTGGGAGAGCTCTATGCAGAAGTGAGTCTGCATCCTGCCCAGCTGTAACGCTGTCTCTTACTAATGGATAAATGACAGTATGGAATTTCATTCCAGTGGTTTGTAAATACAGTTGGCCCAAGATGAAATGTTATTTGAATGGAAACTGTCCAGACGTTCAGTGTTTGACATTGTTCACTTGATGATTAGCCAAAATCCTTCAGCTGTGACTTCCTAGCCACAATTCTTTAAGTATGTTGGAGGGACATTTAATGGTTTCTCTTTCAGTTATGGATCAAGATGTATGCATTTGTATGTGTATGTGTGAATATACTAAGAATACACTATCTCTGTCTAACTAGAGACTTATCTAGGCACAGCTTCACTGTTTCTGTTTTAATTAGACTGATGTCATTATAAGGGGCAAGCAAAACTGATCTCTGGAAAGAACTTAAAACTCAGTCCTAATTCTCTTCTACTCTCAGGATAACTAGTTTGGAGTGCTTCAAGCAATTTTATACACAGTTTAATGACATCATCTCCATGCTGTTGCTATTTGTGAAAGGATCTGCCTTCTAGACGTGTGCTGTTCTGGTAATGCCATAAAGCACAGAAGGGTCATTTTTGTCCAGGCTGGTTGCTTAGCTCCTTTCACCACTGTTTTAGTGGAAGTTTTTATACAACAGTATACTGTTACTTCCAGTCAGTCCTTGGTTCAGTTTAAAGCCAAGGGAAGATTCGACCAGCAGTTATTTGCTAACATCAGAGAGTGACCGGAGCCAAATTCTTGCATGCATCTCTCTCCCTGTTCATATCCCTGCTCTCGCCTTCCCAGAGATTTGTTGCTGAATATTTTTTTCTTTCTACTACTTGCTAAAGCCCACTTCATAACAGCACATCGAGCTGGATGCCAGAAGTTGGGGAAATTCACTGGAAATTTGGGCATGTATTGGGTTTGTGTACTGGGTTTTGGTAGTGGAGGGGCATAGGGGTGGCTTCTGTGAGAAGCTGCCAGAAACTTCCCCTGTGTCCAAAAGAGACAGCTGAGGAGGAGGAGTGATAGAGTGGCTTTGGTGGGCAACTGGTGTCCAGCCAGGGTCAACCCACCACAGGGCAATTGACTATCTGTGAAATGAAAAGTGCAAAAACTACATTATATTTATATATGTTTCATATATAAATTTCATATTTTTACAAGTTCATTTGTGAGTTGTGTTTACAAGTTCATGTCTGAACTATTTTGCATTTGAAGAAGAAGAAGAAAAGGCAAGGACAGCATTAAAATGGAAGTTCGTCGGGGAAGTAAATGATGTCATAACATAACTTAGAAGAAAATATTCTCCTGAAATTTCAGTTTCCCTTGTAAAGAATACTGTTTTTAGAAAATCCTTCTGTGTTTGAACATGTAACATTTTATGCATATCTATATCTGTATGTATATATCTGTATCTATATATATCCATATCTTTATCTATAACTATATCTATATATCATCTATATAATCTATATCTAATCTGTATCTACATCTACATGTACATCTACATCTATATCTCTATCTCTATCTCTCTCTATCTCTATCTCTATCTCTCTATCTATCTCTATATCTCTATCTCTATCTCTATCTCTATCTCTATCTCTATCTCTATCTCTATCTCTATCTCTATCTCTATCTCTATCTCTATCCCTATCTCTATCCCTATCTATATCTCTATATATATCTATATCTAGATATCTTCTATATAATCTATATAATCTATATCTACATCTACATCTATATATCTGCATTTTCATCTATATCTATATCTATATCTATATCTATATCTATATCTATATCTATATCTATATCTATATCTATACCTATACCTATACCTATACCTATACCTATACCTATACCTATACCTATACCTATACCTATACCTATACCTATACCTATACCTATACCTATACCTATACCTATACCTATACCTATACCTATACCTATACCTATACCTATACCTATACCTATACCTATACCTATACCTATACCTATACCTATACCTATACCTATACCTATACCTATACCTATACCTATACCTATACCTATATCTATATCTATATCTATATCTATATCTGTATCTAATCTATATCATCTACTGCATTCCGAGGAAGGTCTCCCCTCTCAAGTGGCCGCCGTGGTGCCAGTGCCGGTGCCAACCGCGCGGGGGCGCCGCAGTGCCGCGCCGGAGCCAATCCCCGCGGGGGCCGGCTCCTGCGGGCCGGGGTGAAGGGCAGAGCCCCCCACGCGTGGAGGTTTCGCTCTCTCTACCCTCCAGTTATTTTTTAAGGAGTTATCAAAGGGTGTTATCCCGTCCCATTCCCTTCCTTCGCGTTTTGTCCGCTGTTGTATCTGCTGTCTGTGCTTTGTGTTGCGCACACGATGAACTTTTTTTAGTGTGCCAGGAAGAGGATATAAAAAAAGGCAGTGTGTTGTGCCACAACGTGGGAATAATGTCGTTTCCTGAGGGGTTATAGGATTCTCCTATAGTGATGACTAACACTACTAAAGTTTATGTCTTCTTATGGATTCAAAAAACCCTTTCAAAATTAAAAAATAAAAGAAAGAAAAAAGAGAGTAAGTGTTTTTTTTAAATAGGAGCTAGTCAAACATTTTCCAAGAGAATGTTTTGCTCATAAGGATGTGGATTCGTCAGATTCTAGCAGTTCTATGAAGTAATTATTTGGCATTAAAATAGCTTTTATTCTAGAACCGAAAGTTCGTACAGCCAACTGTACTGGAAGAATTAGTCTGTAGGCACTGTCCAGTGAATATTCTTGTACATAATGGATTCTTTACTACTTCTAATAATAACAACTTTGAATATTGAAGAAAATCTACAGACATGCTATAATTCTGAGAAGTGCAGTAGTTCAGATTAAATGCATACATGAAATTAATTCAGAGAACAATATAATTACATGTCAAATAAGCCTAAAGGTGCTGAGTTCTTGTTACTCTGATTTATATCCCTCAGTCGAA